GCAGGAAAAATCGAGTGCCTTTGTTCTTTCTCTCTATGCAGCGAATAAGTCTTGTAACTAAGTATTTCCAGTTTCTAGTTCTGTATCTTCCAGAACTGCTCCCCTTTATTTGCAGTTATCAAAATATCCAGGTTATCTAGATATCTACAATTACTTATACTGGTTTCTGAAAATCAATTAACTCGATTACATGTGCAAACTAAATGCAATGGCTCTCAAATGGAGGAGGACAAAAAACCCCATAATGGACAGCTGTTCACCACAGCTTCAGCAGGCTGTTGGGTGATAGCAAAAGAAATCAGGCTAACACAGGAAAAACTAATAGATCAATGAGATATATACATCATATAGAAGGAAACTAAAGCATTGATGATTTGGATCTAACAAACCCAAGCTGTCACTTCTACAGGTGTTACATGCTGTGCTTCTCCAGCTACCACTGCTCACATTTCCCTCTACGTCTTTGAGGGGACTGAGAGGTTGGGTGCTTTGAGCTTAATTAACTGGTTTCATCTAGGTAGAGTCTGCCACAGTGGTGCCCTGAGATTTGATTTCCTAATTGCCGTATTTTTGTTTCATGCTATTATGAGGAATGTAATTTTTTTTTTGATCAGAAACTGTTAGCAAGGACCTTCAGAATCAGCCAATTGCACAGATAAAGGTGTGCCCACTTTTGCAAGTTGCCCTTTTTTGTGTGGTATTCTGGTTAAGTAGGTTGGGTTCTTTAGCAGTTATGTATCAGTCTTCTCTTTCATAGCTACAAAATACTGTTGATTGTAATTTATATTTTAATGGAACCCTTCCTCAGTCTGTGCTGTCATGCTGTCAGGAATTTGTTCTTCAGTCCAAGCCAGCTCAGGTTCTCCAATACCATTATTCCATTTCACCAGATGGTACTTGGACCTGAGAAATGTGTCATTACAGCCATGGCTTCTTGAGAGATTTGAAGGTAGAGGGGTGTCTCATTACCTTTTTGACAATTCTTTGCACATAAAAATACTGTCACAAAAATGTGTGCTATTTCAAAATTTAGCATATATCATCCCATCTCTTTAAAGTATTCCAGAGGACTGCTTAGGAGATGAACAGCATATTTTAGGTATATGAGATGACCAGATATACATTAGTGTTCAGTAGCCACAAGTCCCTTTGAAGTGAATGAAGCAGCTGAAGTTACTGTCTGTGACTTTCTATGGAAATATCAGAATATGGAATTAGAAGCTTTCTTGTCAGCATTTGAGTTTAAAAATACCAAATATGTCCCTGAAGAATGCCTGGTCTGTGAGGAGGTTTCTAGGTGTGTCAACCCAAGGAAGATCATCTAACAAAAAGAATGAACACTATACTCGTTTACAGTTTTTTTAAAGGGTTTTACAAACATGTGTTTGAGTGTTCTCTGGCTTTGCTCTGATGTCTAATGATCCCATAAAAATTAGTGTGGCCTTTGTTGTGAATTTCACTGGGGCTTGGCTTGAGTTTTACCCGAGCTTCTCTAGTAATTGTACTAAACAATGCAAACTGCAAGTCTTCTGGTATCTACAGAACATGACAGGGATCTGTAGACTGCCACTGATCATTGTGGAGGGTTGCTGCCATGTGTATGTAAAATGTTAGGTAAAATGAGGGCTGCATAGCTAAAGATGAGTAAAAACAAAATAGATAAACTGATTGAAAAGAAAATGCTATTTATTGTGTGAGTATATGTGCATATATAAAATCTGGTTCAAAAGAGACTTGTTGGAACTGAACAAGTCTGAGCGAGAATTAATGGCCCACACCTGGGAATAAGAGGTGAATTCTCAAGTATCCAGGTTTAGTAATTGCCACACCTGTCCTATATTCCCAAAAGCATAAATGAGGCCTGCAAGGATTTAGATAGCTTAGCTTCTGAATGCACAGTGCCATGGCTCTTTTCCAAGGCATCATCAGTCACCGCGTGAAAATCCCCACCCATAATTACTAGGGCATTATTTATCACAGGGCATATTCTAGAGAAGAACTTTACCTTATTCCTATGATATCAAGAAGAGTGAATAGTTTTAGTCATTAATTTTATGCAGACTTCAAAATGGTTCAGAACAGAAGCCTAAAATAAATACCCTTCCAGAAAAGCAAAGAAATTGGAGAGACATAGTTTTGTTTGTGGTCTCTTGGTTTTGGAAAGATGAGGACACAAACTGCATTCTTATAAATGGCTTTATTATTCCCTTTTACCAAGATGACCTCTGAAATACCATGAAAAGCTTAAGGAATGGCCATTTGAAACACAAAACTGAGAGTCTGGCACCTGGCAGAGGACAATCCACCTGAATATTTACTCCGCCTCAATTCAATTCATGTACATGAACAGAAAATGAATTATTTATTATTGTACAAAATATGGGGGTGGACAGTTTGAGAAAATGCATTGGCAATTGCAACATGTCTGTCATTGAGCTCCTGCTGCTAACATTGAGGAGAATTTTGGATGAGATAATCAGTGACTGATACTTTGGTCAGGCAGACTCTTATCTTTTGTCCCCAACAGAAAAGAAGGTAAGTACTGACCTCAGAAGTCAATTCTTTACATTTGATGAGTTAACTCTTTCTAGTTCTGATGCCTTAGGATTTAGCTTTTGTATTTTTCAGATCCTGTACTGCTTTAGTGTATAACTCTAAAACTCCATAACCTCTCAGCTACTGTTCTCACATTTTATTCAGACAAAGCAATTCCTCTCTCGGCCTGAAACTCAAGGAAACTTTACTGTCTCAGGCCCCAAGAGATGTAAACAACAGTGAATTGTGGGGGACAAACTTGGAGTAAATTACCTCATTACCTGCAACTCTAATTGGAGGGTTAACCCCTGATATGTAAAAGGACCAAACTTATAACTGTATGAAAAACTTGTGACCATTGTCCATCTTGGGTGTAGCCCCTTGGAGGCTTTGGCTGCCCAAGGTGTACCTAAAGAAGGCCTTCAGTGAATACCCACTTTAGTTCTCTGAATTTTGTCTAGCCTCTGTTTTAGGTAGCCACTCCAAGGCATCAGTTCTTTTGCCTCCTGAAACAGAAGTAATTTCCAAAGAAACAGTGGGGCACAGCTTTCTGCTTTGGCTCTGCCAACCTTCAAACTTAATGCAGGCTCCCAGAAGAACAAAGCAATTATACTAACAATGGAGGCATCTGAATATCTCTGTCACTGTGAACTTACAAGACACAATCTGGGTTTGTATTGAATATGAACATTGCAGACAAATTTGTAGAAAAAAACACTTTGAAGCATGTTCCACGAACAACAATATCTGGTTTTCTCTGGTCTCAGCAGTAACTAGATCAGACTTCCTTCTGATAGGAGAAGCTTTGTGCTCCCTCCATCACTACATGTCCTTTGCATTCGTGTTTGTGCACCTCAATGCCTGTAAAATTCAACGTGGCAAATCTCCGTACAGAGGAGTCTCCTCATTCTGAGTTGTTTAGCCATCATGTGGGGGTTTCAGGCATCAGGCATGATTTATTTCAGAAGTTCTCCCACAATTAAGACACCAATTGAAGTTATCAGGAATCCTTCCCAAGAAGAGAACTCAGGCTCAGCAATATTACAACAACGTTGATGTCAGTGACTTACTGTGGAACAACCCTGTTTGCAAAAATATGGGGCAAAAGAGAGTAACATGCAAAGGAAAAGTTGATGACAGCACAGAGCACTTGAAAACATTGAACCTGCTCTCACTGACTCCCATGTGCACTGGCAACCAACCACCTGCAGCCAGCTGGCAGGCTGAGCTGAGCTACAAAAGCACTGCTGTCCCTCAAGTCTTTCACTGCACGCTCAATATTTGCTGAGCATACACATTCTAAAGAGACCTCAGCAAGGTGCACAGAATTGTAGAAAGTGCATAAGAAATATGGTAAAAGTCATAATCATCTGTGCAGGTTTTTGAGGCTCTCCTCCAGGGAGCACAGGCTTTCCTTTCAAGTCACCTGCAGTCCTATTGTAAATGTGGAGAAAAGGACTTTGCTTACCAGGAAAAGAGATTCTTCAAGGTATGTTTGTTAATGTGTACTTTTGTATCATGTCCTCTATTTCTTCTGGTGTAAAGTCCTTTGACATTAGGGGACTCAGCAAGTGGGACAAAGGGTCTAATGCACATGATAGGCTCTTTCCTTCCTGTGATCAAAATGAAGGCAGGATGAGTGCACACAGCTGTATGTGTACTCCTGGCAGGAACATGCACATAGGCAGCCAATTTAGGAGAACTCCAGCTTTGAGAAACTTCTGCACTGCTACCAAGGTAATGGGGGATATTGTGCTTTAATGATGCCATAGATAACTGAAAAAAACTCAGTTTTTCAAAAAAAATGCCAATGCCTTAAACACAAAACACTTGTGTGAACACTGATTTAACGTAGGGGCATTTATTCAACACCAGTGTATGGCATCAGTAGAGAGCACTGCAGCAGTCTGAAACAGCCCATGTGTCTTTGGCTTCCCTCACGTGAAGGCTGTGGCTCTCATGCCAGCTCACCTCATGCTGTAGCAGCACTGGTAGCTAAGCTATGGAAACTGAAGAGCTGCATGCTTTAACTTTCTTTCTGACTGTTTTTAATAGATTTCTGGAAAATTTTCCGTCCACTGAAAATTTGGTAAGTCACACATTCAGATACTCCCCCACCAGATGGATGTGATCAAAATATGTAGATCCAAGGACACAGAGGTATTTCAGTGCTGCAAGGGAGATTTGGCTGTGTAGCTCTGAGCCCACTGAAACAAGCAGTAAGGGGCACTGGGGCAAAGCACCTTCCTGAAGGCTGAGTTTGCAGTTGATCTGTCACAAGATCTGAGTTCTGCCTGCAGCGTTTTCCACAGTTTGAACATATAGCATTTCTTCTTAATAGGGACACATACATTTATGTGGATTGTCTTCCATTAACACTGGCACCACTTTTGGCATATCCAGTGGAAACAGCGGCTGAACTTGCACAGATATGTACAAGGGAAAACTGTAGTCAGGAGTCCCACAGTGTCTTCAACTTCCATAAAACAGAAGGAAATGGGAGCCTCAGACTTTATCAGTGACATCCTGAACTGGGTAAGTGGTGTTTATTTCAGTTTGTTAATGGAGGAAAGTGATTCCCTTGTGGCCTAGACTCTACCATAGATGCAAATGATCTCTTGATGACTTAAATTAAATGTAAACGGTCCATAAACCCTGCATTTAGTCACATAAATGCTTCCATCTACTGAACCTTTCTAAAGCATCCCAGAACATCATGCTGGTGGGGAATAGCCCCTTTCTAAATGGAAAATACTGACCCACTACCAGCTGTACTGTCTTACCCAACATAAATGCCAGCTGTGTTGGCTGTGGTAACCGTCGGCAGTTGTATCTCTGACAGGGTGCAACAGGTTTCTGTGCCAAAATACACTTTCCTGTCCTTGTCTTTTGTAGCTGAGTGTCAGATTGCAGACAACCGACATGGATTCAGCCTTCCCATGCTATGGGTTCTGTGCCACACAGGTTTTTAAATCATCATTTTCCTTTTAAAGTCATATGTTTTAGTAAAATAAAAGCAAGAATTGTAGCACCCAACACTAAAACATGTTGCATGAATTCTTTTTAGAATCATGCAACTCATGTAATTAAAGATCTGGAATTTTGCTTGCTTTAAAGATGACAGGAGTTATTTTTCTGAAATTAAATTTTAGTTTGCCAAGGTGAATTTCACTTTATATTTACCACATTCATGTCATAAATGTGAGCAGCTTGTACTGCTCCTATTCCCCATTAATATAATTATGTAACATTAATATAATCTTGGTGTTTGTCAAGGAATGTAGGATTTATGCTCATATTAACATATTACATGTAATTTGATTAAAATTAGCATCTAGCATAATTGTTTAGGCTTGAAAGAATTATTCAAAGTGAATAATTCAGAGTAATTTTTAGTCCAAAACCTTATTCCCATTTCCTATCTTTAATTACGGCAGAAGAAAAAAAATAGAGTTTTTTGCTGTATGGGAGCCCATTTCATAGTTTGTTAATTTTTTACTTGAAAACACATGTATTTTGCAAGGACTTTTTGTTTGGAATTAGAAACCTCTTAGCCCTGGGCTCTTGCTGAATGATTAGCCTTGATTATACTTGGCTCTTCTATTAACTATGGCCAGGTAAGTCACATGGCATTGTTTCTCCCTCCTATCTGAAGGGCAGTGTCTTTTCAGCATTGTTTATGAGCTTTTAGATACCCAAACCTTGCAAAAAAGCCTCATACTGTCCCTGGCTTTTTACTTTCTGAAATATTATTGCAAACAAAGTACTTTTATGATTCCATAAAATGAGTAAAAGATATAATGGCTTCCATCAAAAGAAATTTTCTGATTGCATTTGTATGAATTCTAACAATATTTATTTCAAGTATTTTGTAGCTCAGATGTCAGCTGCCTTTAAACACTAAGCAGAAGGAATGGTTTATTCCAGGCATCATCATTTGAAGTAGCCAGTCCCGTTTTCCTCCAGAATTTTGAAACTTTGGATTCTAGATTTTTATCTGTCTGTGATCTTTTCAGAAAAACCCTACTGATCATTAGACTCACTTGCTTTGTGATTAAGTCTTATTTCACTTAAGACTTGTTTTACCTAAAGCATAAGATTCCAGTTTGAACAAAAAAACGTAAATCTGAAGGTCTTGAGGAGCTCATGCGGTGGTGAGTAAAGACACCTTATTTCAATGAACAGGACTGGCATGCTGAATGGTACTGTGGCCAGCTTCTCTTCCTGTGAGGAAGAAGTGAAGTGTGAAGTTTCTGAGAAGTCAGAACAGGTGTTATCCCAGCAGTGCCAGGTTCTTTCTCCAGATGTGTTCAAGTGACCATGGAAATCCCTGCAGGAAAGGAAGGGCCATATCTCATGTCACCTGCCGGTGGCTACAGGAGAGCTGCTGCTGCCCTGAGCCTGCTGCAGGTCAGTGTGCCACAGGGGGAACCTCAGCACTGCCAGCTCCAAAGGATGAGCTCCTCCTCTGAGCAGGGGTTACTCCTGGGAGAGCCACAAGTGCCACTATGATTAGCTTGAAACTGATAACAAAACTCTGATCCTTTTCAAGCCAAGATTGCCTCTGACTCGGTTCCTTCCTCTGTGCACCTGTTGTTCCCCCATGCTGGTGTTGGTTTGATCACAGCTTGGATTCATTGGTGATGTCACTGAGTGACTCTCAGAACTTTGCTGATCTTCCTTCCTTCCTCAGCTCCCTTTCTTCTTGCTGCCATTTTTTATCTAGTAGGCCAGCTCTTGCTTGGATTACTCATGCCAGTAATCCCTGGGCTAATAGAGGGATAATTAAAGAAAACTGAATTTATCTCAACAGGGAGATCAGATTTTAAGATCCAAGATGGCATCTGCTCTGAGCAGTAAAATTGCTTCCTCTTAGTTTAGAGTCAATACTTACAGAACCTCACATTTTAAAATGTGAGACAAGTGTGTTCCCAAAACTTTCTGCCACTGAAGTTGAATGCTTTATGATATTAATAAAAGCAGGTTTGCACCAAAAGTATATTATCTTCATACTTTAGAATCTTAGTCTTTAATTCCATAGGTACTTTGAGCATCAAATATTTGCAGGTTGGCAATCAGAAACTGTGAGGTCATGGGTTATCCCAGTGTCCAACCAGTGAATCTCACAATAGCTTCACTGTAAGAGGAGTGGAAAAAGCCCACCAGATCCTTGAGTTCTCTGAGGGCTCTCACACTGGAATCTGACATAGGTTTAGCAACTTCTTCATCTGTGAAACAACAGCATGAGGCTTTCAGATCCATTTGGTACTAGAGAATGTAAACTTTTACCACATTTATACTCTTTAGCCTAATCCTGATCCTTGTAACAGTCTCTCCTAAAGGGGAGTAAGTTGGATGAGAACACAGAATTTTGTCCATGTCAAGGACTAAGTTTTATGACAGAATGTGTCCCATACTAAAATATATAATTAAGAAATGCCATGGCTATTTTTATAAGCTGATCTTTCTCTTAATTTCCAGTCCCACTGCTCTCATTTTTCTGCGAACTACTTAGAAAGCGTGATGAAGCCTGAGACATGCTGTCTCATCTTCTTTTTGAAAGTCTTTTGAGAACAGCAAAATGTAACATCTAAGTCAGTGACAAGATTCCTCATTACTTAAGCACTCTTCTCAAGTACTAGCTCAGCTTTGTACCTTCTCAAAACCAGATGATTTTGGATTGACTATGGACTGCCAAAGTTATGCTCAAAAACAACCTTTTACAATAAAAGCACAGGTGTTAATAATGTTGCAGGATGACTGCATGAATATTTTCAAAGGATTAATGCACAGTCATATAAAAGAGACAAACAAGGGTATTTTCTTTGTAATTCACTGTTACCTCCCAGTGTTCATGTAGGTGTGCTTTGGAACCAGTGTAGTTTTTGGACCTTAGATGCCACTTCAGGTAATATTGCAAATTGCTGTTTTATGGAGAAGCTCATTATTGTAATGTACTTTGGGTATCAGAGTGAATTGCTCACACAAGTGAGGAGATGATACTGGTCTAACTAGCAGGATTTTGGTAAATGCTGATGCTAACCCAGCTGTGCAGTCCTGCTGACAAGACTATTGAATCGCTGTTATTTCAGCATCTAGTTTTAGGTGCAGTTCAGGACACTGGGATTTGTAAATCTGAGTTCCCTGCACAGCTCATGTAGGCACTTTGAGAGCATCTTAATTGAATGCTGGAAGTTGGTGTCACCTGAGTGGGACAAAAAAAAAAAAAAAGGAAAAAAAGTATATTTTTTTCTGGATTTACCAGGATTTTAAATTTCTGGGTTTGGATTACCTCTTGTATAACACCATGAAAGTAGCTAGCCAAAGCTTATGAGTCAAAATGTTCAGAGAATATTTTGAGAACACCTCCCTGAAAGCACAGTTGAGAATTGAGTTTGGGGTAGGATTCCCTTTTACTGTTCTGCTGCATAATTTGTATGCCAGGTAAGGGTCTGCACAGGTTCCTACTGAGATCAATGAGAGCCTTCAATCCAGTAGGGTCTAGAAGAAAATAAGCTATACTTTCCATATTTCTTAGCAGGTCACCTCGAGATAAATTTACTTCAGATAAAAACTGATCTATTTTCATTTAAAAAACCAACAAACAAGAAGGCACTGTATGAAAGGATTTCCTTTGTAGGAATGCAGTAGTTAAACTTTTGCATGCTCATTGGTGGTGATGTTAGGAGGCTGATATTAGGGCATAGGAGAGATTAAATGCTCAGCTTTGTTATGTATTTCTTGTATTGCCTTGGCAAGTCATTCATCTCACAGCTCTCTAGCTATGAAATAGAGAATTATAAACTGCTCCATCATCCAGGGACATGTAGCATGAACAAATTAAAGATGATGAGCCATTCATGAGAGAAACCATTGAAGTTTGTAAGGTGAAGACAAACAATTGGAAATTCAGGTGTGAAAGAAAGGAGGTTATAAATTAATTAGAGGTGAGAGAGAGAATGGTTGATTTTGGATAGGCCAAATACTGAGCAAAGGGATAACTGATGCATACCATTAGGAGAACTACTGTTAAACATCATAACATCATTTGTGGAAATCTTAAGGCAAAGGTGATGGCCTAGTACAGCAGAAGGAAACAGTACACTGAGAGGTGAGGAGCAACAGTGTCACTTTTTGGGTTATTTTTTGGTGGTATTTCAACTGTATGTTCTTTGGAACAGGACTTAATCCTGTATCTGAAAAACACCTGCAGTGTTTTGGGCACGGTGGATGTGGTCAGTGAAATATGGTCCTAATTAGAAGAGAGGAATTGTGTATGCAATGGCTCATTAACCATACAAAGATTGTGAATTAATAGAAAACAACTTCACAGACTGATTGGTGCAAGATTATAGGTCATAAGCTGGCAACAAATTGGGCTGTGAGGGTCATTTGAATGGAAGTGAGCAGTTATCAGGTAAATGGAAGTGAAAAATCCCCTCAGTCACCTAGCCTGGAAATTGCAAAGCGCTGAGCTCTCAGAAGAGCCAGAAGTCAGTGGAGCCCAAGGATAGCAAGAATTGAGGCATGGTCATAGGAAACACCTGAAAATACCCTGAAGACAAGGGGAATGGTACAAAAAAGGAAGAGGAAAATAGCATGGATTTGAGTTGGTTCACCTTGGAGTTGTGTTTCTCCAAAGGAGAGAAGCTGTAATGATAAGTCATTAAATCATCTGTTGTTGGACCAAAATGCACATTAAAAAATGAAAAGCAGTCCCCAGCTGCCTTTCCCAGCTGAAGGAAAGGTTCTGGTTGACTTGTCAAACACTGCTGCATACTGATCTACAGGCCTCCAAGGCTTTGGCATATCAAGTCTTTTCCTTTGAAAATTGTCTTGTGTGGCAGCTTTTATGTGCAGTATCGTGTGTCTCCTCCCTGGGGCAGAAAACACAACAGGAGAGGGGAGAAGTTTGTGTTTCAGTGTACCACAACAAGTAAGATGGTTGATTGCCAGCTCTTTATTTGCATAGGAAACCACTGCTGCTCCATCCCTGCCTACTCCCCAGGTGCACTCAGGAAGCACTGAGGACAATATCCTCTTGTCACTCCCACGACAGCTGTGCCATTCCTTCTGCTCCGCAGCGCCCACTCTGGTCTTCCTTCCCCCCATCAGTTCGGTAGGTGGAGAGAGGAGAGGCTGGGCTGTTGCTGCCATTCACCCCAAGAAGTTTTGCGTGCAAACTCCTGCCTGCAGCTTTGTCAGTAGCAATGAAATATTCTGGTTTAACAAGGTAGTAAAACAAATGTGCAGCTGCACTCCAGTTCCTAACAGGGCTGCCACATGCTATGTTGTGCACAAACTGCCAGGCTGTTGGATCAGCAGGCAGAGCACCATCCTGCCCACAGCCTGCAGAGCCAGCCTGCATCCTGCAGCCAGTAACTCATTCTGGAGCCCACAGCAGTGAAAGGCCTAAGAACAACACAGGAGCAGAGTTCAGGTGAAATAAAGAGACTTCAGTGTTCCAGTGCAATTAAAAACTCTTAACAGTCATAAATGCACTTAGTCACGTTCCTTCACAGTTATGTTTTTCTGATCAGTTTCCTTCCCTAAGCAGAAAGGCGTGCAGCTGACTTGGTACAGACAACTCTTGCTGCTGTTTTGAATTGTGGAGCACTTCACTCGCCCTCCCTGAGCTTCTGGACAGCCAGATCAGCTTTGGGATGGAAGAATAGCACCCTCAAGAGTTGACAGTGCTGCTTCAGGGAGCCATAGTATGCAACTGGCATCCTTCCTCTCTTAGTTAAATCAGCTCCCTGTTCATGTAACTTGAGCAACAAGTTTTCTCTTTAGTATTTGAAATATTTGGTATCAATCACTGTTGATATGAATGGGGAAATAAGCATTTGTGCTTGTTTGGGGATGAGCTGGTTCTAAATATTTTATTTGTCTTCAAACAGGGAGGAAAAATAAAAAGACAAAGATGTGTCTTTTTGGTAAGTCTGGGAACTTAATTTTATACTATATTAAAATAATTTAAATGGGAATTCAGGTTTCCGTGTAAAAATAGAAGACTTAAAAGTTCTTAACATAGATAAAAGGGGTCTATGTAAAAAAAAAACCAAAAAACCAAAACTGAGCAAACCAGTCCTTAAATTGTGGGGACTTGTTCGTTAATTACAGTAATTAGGAATGGAATCTGATCCCAAACGTTCTGATTTACTTTAATTTTTTTTTAACATGTAGTTAGGCCTTAATTTTAGAATGATTGTAAAATGTGAGAGTGTTTTAAAGACTAAAGAGGAGTAGATGTTGTTATTAAATCACAAATTTAGTGATACAATTCTGCTTACACTTTCTTAGTTATCCTTCTGCTGTTCCGTGCAGCACTGACTTTTTATTTCAAATGTTCATGGCCGATTCCTCTTCCTGCTGACTTCAGAGTCACACAAGGCCTCTTGAAAACTCTGAGCACAAACTGCTTTTATTCCAGATGATATTTCTCCCAGCAAGCAAAAAGTCCAGCTCTGTGTTTGTCCCGTTTCTGGAAATGGGTTCACTTGAGTAGAACAAACTGAATTTGTACAGTGGGGTGCAGTCAGGGACATTGTACTCTCCACTCTGAACACCTAAAACTCACTCCTGTCACAGACTTGAGGCTTTTCCTCTCAGCCAGGACTTTGTTCAGAGTCCTTATGTTTTCATTGCTTAGACAGTGCTGCAGCTCCCTGTGGAAGCAGCCCTGTGAGCCACTGCTACTGCATTGAAACCCAGGCATATAATTTTAGAAAATACTGCATATAAAACAATTTAGGATTAATTTTTTTCCTATTGATAGTGAAAAGTATACTCTGTAATCTGTAAATTAATGTTTCCCTGCTGTAATTACAGAATCCATTCTCCTGAGAGGAGACTGGAGTATGCCAGCTGACTCTGCTGGCCTTGCATTTGCTCATGAAACAGAAGTTCACACCTGCATTGTGTGAAACAAAAACACGGTGGTTTGGTGCATTGTCATTTTTGTTTTCTGTTGAATCCTTTGAATTTTTAATTGCAAGAAATCTGTCAAATCCTTTCTGAGTAATTTACTGTCACAAGTTTCTGTTTTACTAAAATGCTCAGAACTAAGAATTCCATCTTTTTTTTTTTTTCCTCCAGCCATCACTATGTTTGATTCATTTTCCCTGCAGATCTTCCTGTAGCAATTTTAAACCTGCACCTGCTCCAGTGGTCTTGGTCTGTCCTTTCAAAAGGACCTTCAGGACCAGCAGAGCTAAATGCCCGTGGGACTGCCCAAGGCGCACCTGGGCACTGTGCAAGCAGGGATAGATAGACACATCTGTTCTTCGTACTGCCAGTGACAGCAGCAAGAGGAATTCTGTGCATCCTCACCCCGCCCGAACTGAAGCTTGAGACCGGAGGCTCCTGGGGGGACTGTGACCCGTACACAGGAGCCACAGGGAAGCGGTGGCTGGGACACGCAGATCCACTTCATCCCGCACTTGCGGGAACATTGAACGCCTTCAAAAGCCCCAGCAAAGGCAGGCTGGGAAGGCTGCTCCCGCGGCCGGGCACACGCCCGCAGTGCCAGGGACACCCGGCCGCTGCAGCGCTGCAGGCTCCGGGCCCCGCTGCGCCCGCGGTTATCCCGGGTCAAGGCCGGGAGGCGGCCCGTGCCCGGCACCGGTCGAGATTGCTGAGTGTGCGTTTGGGGAAATCCGTCATTAAATTTACCTGCTCGATTCGTGAGGGGCATGAAGCGGCCCGCAGATGACCCGACTCGGGCTGTTCCGTGCAGGCGGGGCAGCTCCTCCGGGCTTGGGACCGGCGGTAACCGCCGGAGACGGCACGGCCGATCGCCGCCGAGCAGCGGAGCCGGGAGCCTCCGCGGCCACCGAGCCCTCCGCCCCTGTCCGCCGGGCGCATCCCGGACAGCGCTCGCGGCCGGGCTCCGCGGGTCCCGCTGTGACCGGCCGAGCCCCGCGGGTCCCGCCGGTGCAGCCGGGCCGCGGCGGAATGCGGCGCGGTCGGCCCCTGCCGGCTGCTCCGAGCCCGGCGGCTCTGCCGGCAGGTAACCACCGCCGGTGAGGCAGCGCCTTGGCTCCCAAACCCGACGGGGCGAATGTTCCCGACTGGCCAAATATTTGCAAGTATGCGCGGATGGTGAACTTTGAGACTGTCTGCGAAGCGCGGCCGGGGAGCTCTGGGCCGAAGCTCTCGGCGCAGAGGCGGGAGCGGGCGGTGGAAATGTACCGGCCGCGTTTGGCCGCTCTGCCCCGCCGAGCGGCCCCGGCAGCGCGGGCGCAAAGTCCCCGCGCCGTTCCCCCGGGCCTCTTATCAGCGCGGAGCTTCCTTGGCGGGAGCCATCCACCGCTCAGCGCCCGCTGGGCTCGGGGCGGCGGCGGGAGGGGGGGAAGGGGGGCCGAGGAGTGCGGGGCGCTCTCCCCGCGGTGCGGCGGCTCCCGGGGGCGGGCGGGAGGTCGGCTGTGCCCGGCCGGGGCGCTGGGAGCCGGCAGCGCGGCGGTCAAAGGTTCCCAGCAGGAGGTTGGACACTAGAGGGCGATCCCCGGCCCTGCTGCGGGCTGTATATATACGGCACGCAGCACCGCGGCAGCCCACTAGCAACAGGGCAGGCAGCGAGCGGAGCGGGGCTGGGCCAGGGGACGGGCTCCGGGAGCACCGAGCCGTGCCGTGCAGCACCGTGCCGCGGATTGCTCTAGAGTCGCCGCCGCTGCCGCCGTCGTCCCGTTCGAAACCTGGATTGCAGGAGCCCTTCACCATGCCCGGCAGACTGTAGTTGCTTCATGGAGCAAGCCAATTTCTACGAGGTCGATTCCCGGCCCCCGATGAACAGCGGCCAGCACCACCAGCTCCAGACTCCCCTGCCCGGCAGCACCTACAGCTACAGAGAGGCTCCCTCGGCGGCGGCACCTGCTGCGGGCGGCGCGGAGCTCGGCGACATCTGCGAGAACGAGAACTCCATCGACATCAGCGCCTACATCGACCCCGCCGCCTTCAACGACGAGTTCCTGGCCGACCTATTCCAGCACAGCAAGCAGCAGGAGAAAGCCAAGGCCATCCTGGCCGGGGATTTCGACTTCCACACCATGCATGGGGCCGGCGCCGCCGCCTCGGCGCCGGGGCACCAGCCGCAGCACCACCAGCAGCCGCTGTTCGGCTGCGTGCCCGGCTACATGGACGGCAAGCTCGACCCCCTCTACGAGCGCATCGCCGCGCCGGGCTTGCGGCCGCTGGTGATCAAGCAGGAGCCCCGCGAGGAGGAGGAGGTGAAGTCGGCGGCCCTGTCGGCCCTCTATCCCCATCACGCCCCGCAGCAGCACCCGTCCCACCTCCAGTACCAGATCGCCCACTGCGCCCAGACCACCATGCACCTCCAGCCCGGGCAGCCCACGCCGCCCCCCACGCCCGTGCCCAGCCCGCACCATCCGCACCACCCGCACCCTCCCGGCGGCCTGTCCGCCGCGGGCACCCTCAAGATGATGCCCTCGGACCACCGGAGCAAATCGAAAAAGACAGTGGACAAGAACAGTAACGAGTACCGGGTGCGCCGGGAGCGTAACAACATCGCGGTGCGCAAGAGCCGGGACAAGGCCAAGCAGCGCAACGTGGAGACGCAGCAGAAGGTGCTGGAGCTCACCACCGACAACGAGCGGCTGCGCAAGCGGGTGGAGCAGCTCACCCGGGAGCTGGAGACTCTGCGGGGCATCTTCAGGCAGCTGCCGGAGAGCTCGCTGGTGAAGGCCATGGGCAGCTGCGCCTAGCGCCGCGCCGGGACCGGCCGGGCTGCCCTGCCCGCGCACAGATACTATATCTACCGGCGTGCGGCAAGCGCGGTGTGCCGGCGGGAGGGGAACGGGGGGTTGTTTTGGTTTTGTTGTTTTGTTTTGTTTCGTTTGTTTTTTATCAATTCACGACCTATACAAGAAGCCAGGCAGCTCTAGTATTAAAAGGTTTGTGCCTTAGAGATGACACACGAGTAAGCTGAAAACGTGGTAGGTTTTCTAAGGAGAAAGGCAAGGGGAGGAAAGAATTAAAAGACCACGTGTCTACACAGGGTAAATAACAGTAGTAATAATAATAACAACAACAAAAACAGTAATAAAGCACGCATAGCAACCCAGATGTGCCTTAAAAGCTGGCTGCAGGAGCTCTGGGGCTTACTATGCCCTCCAGCCTTGCAGGGTGCGAGGATAAGGAATGAGGGACATGCAGGCTGGAGGGCTGCGGTGTCCAGGGTGTCCTGCCAGACCCCTTCCAGCTGGCCTGCAGTGCAGCAGGCAGGAGCAGCTTTGGGGAAGTCAGCGATGAGAAGAGGATTTGAGGCTGAGAGATGTGCAGCACTGGATGCCCGTTAGGAGCACTGAGGTGTGGGGCAGCCACCAGACTGCTGCCAGGACTGTCGCAGCCTGGCTGGGCTGCCTCCGCCGAGCCCTGTCCCCTACCTTGGCTGGGAGGGGGACAAGGGGCCAGAACCGCTGCAGGACCGATGGACAGCCTGGGACTGATGGAGCAGCAGCTTGCAAGAGTATGGTGAGCTCTCTCCATCGAAAGAAAGAGCAGCAGTGTCTTGTACTGTATGTCACGACGTGGCGAAGCACAAATGAATAAATACCTATTGATGCGGGTATTTACTATGAACTTTCAGTGTATTTTGCTTTATTCCAGGACATTTTGCTCTTCTCCAAGTCTCTGTCCACCCAAACTGTGCCTCATGTAATGTGAAAGCCGTTCCATGTACACTAGCTATACTTTATTGCCTTACTTAGATCTTTGCCATCACACAACTTTCTTATCTGGTGACAGAGACTATGCCCTTGTGCTGCAACGTTATTTTATTATTTGTATGGGTGGGTGAGTGTGAGTGTGTGTTGCCTTAACATTGTCCTGTACTGGTTGCTGCCTCCCGACCCCAAGGCAGGAGTGCCTGGAACAGGGCATGGGTTGTGGGGCTGCACGATGCCTGTGGTGGGGCAAGGAGGCTTGTCCCTGGTGCTGTTGCACCTTTGGACTCTGGAGCTTCTCCCAGAGTGAGAGAAAAATAAACAAACAGGCCCCCTGGGCATTCTGGTAGCCATGCAGAACATTTGTTCCTTGTGTTGTAGCTGCATAACAATTTGTCCAACTGAAGTAAGTCTTGACAAGAGAGGAGAACAAGGTGGATGGAGCTGTTTGAAAGCATGATAGTGAGAGCACAGTGCTGGCAGCGTGTGTATGTGTGTGCAGTGTGTGTATGGTATGTATACGTGTATGTATATGCACACACATTGGTGGGGTTTTTTTTTTAATTTGGGGAGGGAGGGAACTGCATATAAAATTTGTCAGAAGTCGTGGTTACCTTCATAAATAAACAGCATATATTCTACCATAACCATCCGCCTCTCTGCTTGTTTCCAGTCCTCTTCCTGTAGCAGGAGTGCCAAAGGTCTCCTCTTCCTCCAGACCAGCAACCAGCTCTCCACCGACTTCTGCATCCCCTGCCAGGGCTGGTGACTGAAACGCGTTAATGGAGTGCAACTCCTTGGTTTTCACCCCAGAGAAATAAATACACGGTTGCCTTTAAGAGAACGGCAATTTCCTAAACGCTTGCGGTGGCAGATGTGAGCCCGTGAGTCACGCCTCGCTTCACCCTTCACCCCGCGGCGGCCGGGCCGGGGGCCTGCGGGCGGGCTGCGGGGACGGGCGGCCCGCAGGGACGGGGGAGGCGCCGGGTGCCGAGGACACGCAGCCCGCCCGCTCCCCCGGGCCCGGCCGGCCGGGCAGCCCGCGCTCCGCCCGGGACGCCGCGGGTCTCAGCGGGGCGCGGGGGGCAAAGCCAGGCCGTGGCGGAAAGAGGGGCGGGCAGGGCCGGGCCCCGCTCGCCCGGCAGCATTGCCGCTGCCCGTCCCTTCCCGGTCGAGCGCAGCCCTCCCGTCCCCCGGCGCGCTTCGCTCTCGCGGGGTCGGGCCTGGAGGCACCGCCCGGGCCCCTCGGTGCCGGCGGGACGCGGGGCAGGGCACGGGGCAGGCGGGGTCCGGCCGCGGGCCATGGCGGGGAGGTGGCGCGAGACCGGGCGGCGACGGGGGCGGGAAGGGGCAGCCGTGAGGGGGGAGGTGGCTCCGCCTCGGCCGTCCCGTCCCGGAGCTCCGCCGTGGGGGCGGCCGGCCGTGAGGTGAAAGAGCTCCCGGCGTGTGGCTCAGTGCCCCGGCGCCCTGTGAGGGGGCGGGGGGTCTCTTTGGGGGCGTCGCTCACTCTGCTTTCCGCCGGGACTTGGTGCCCTGGCGG